TCTTGTTCGATTGATTGACGATGTTCTTACGATACTTGACATATTAATATTCTGATTATTGATGCTCCTGCAATAGTTCTTCGTCATCTCCCAAAGTTAGCTCACACTATATACAAGTAATTCTCATTCCCCCGTTTTAAACCTATCAGCGCCATCTCCCATGTATATCATCAACTGACTTCGTCGATAGGGAAGACTAAGTTGACAATATCATTACGTTTCACCCTCTTGTATTTACGTGTGTGTTCAGTTGCCGAATTTACCAGATCTGTGGTCAGTTGCAGATGTGTTCAGTTGACTGTGTCCAGTTGCACCCATCCCGCATGAAATCTAATCATTTTAATTTGAACGAAAGTTTAGCAAGAAAAAACTACATCAAATCTCCAATGTGTGATTGTAATGCAAATACCAAAGAAACCTTAACTCATATTTTCTGGATCTGCCCTAAATATAAAGAAGAAAGAACCATTTTTGTTAAAGCTTTGAATAAATTAGATATTTATTCATATAATATCTACAAATTGATGAAATCACCAAAGGATAATATCTGTCAATTAATTTATAACTATCTCAAGAAAATTCAAAAGAAGATTTAAACTGAAGACCAAAAATTGTGAAATCTACTTTATCACTGTTCAAAATGAAGTTCAGTAACGTCCCTCTAGGGGCATAACGGCCCGTAAAACCTTCGTTTTTGGACAGCCTTAAAACATAGAACAGAACAATAAAGAACGCTCCAAAACGTTTGTAATTCACTTATTCGCTCCCAGGAATAGTTCAATAGGTATAATTCAACAACATGAGTAAAGCACATCCTCCAGAGTTGAAAAAGTGAGTACTAACCACTTCTTGGATCAATTCAACACCATAAAAACAGCCGCATATATTCTTGGTTAGATTCAATGCTCCAAATTTCATAAATTATGATTTCGTTCGCAGGTACATGGACAAGAAATTATCTCGTAAGTATTTAATTCTATTTATTGTTCCAAGAAAATTGTAAGAATGTTATTTGCAGTGAAATTGAATGGAGGGAGACACGTTGTGGGCATCCTCAGGGGGTTCGACCCCTTCATGAACATGGTGATCGACGAAAGTATTGAAGAATGCAAAGATGGCACCAAAAATAACATTGGAATGGTGGTAAGTGTAAAATTAATGAAACTATACAAAACAATTTTCCTTCAAGGGGAGACCATTATTAGTTTTAAAAGTCGCGGGCGATTGGAGTAAGATTTCTTATGCATTGAAGATCGATGAAATGTCTAAAACGGAATAATTAGTGTAAAAAAATCAATTGTTTATTGTTCGTTTTGCTCCACACACGCTTGAAGTGTTAAAAATAGTCTAGGGCCTTCAAATTTTGAGCTACAGAGGTTTTTTTTGTAAAATTTTTGAAAAAATGTGTACAACAATTATGAATTATTTTTTTTAAATTCGACTCCTACACCGCTAATTTCCTTTTGTTTAATGTAAAAAAATGCGCCATTCATATAAAATAGGCGAAAAAAATATCCTTAATATATTTAAAATATATTCTCGATTCTATCAGAAACATTGTTTGGACTATTTTACATAAATGATGGATCTTTTGGTTTAAAAAAACTGTGTAAGTTAACTGTGTAGGAATCGAATTTCAAGAAACTAATTCGTAATTGTTATTGCACACATTTTTCCAAAAATCTTGAAAAAAAAACCTTTGTAGCTCAAAAATTGGAGGCCCTGAACTATTTTTAACATTTTAAGCGTCTGCCGGACAAACGAACAATAAACAGTTAATTTTTCTGCACTAATTATTCATTTTTAGACATACATAATTGATAATTTTGAGACAACTTATGTCACTTTTGAAAAATTAGGATGTTTGAAATTCAACCAGAAAATTATTGCCATAATTTTCATAATAGCAAGTAATTGTTAATAATCATCATTATTGCAGGTAATTCGAGGTAACAGCGTAATTATGCTGGAGGCTCTAGACAGAATATGATTTTCATCATGAAAAATAACCCATTATATCTGTAAGTCAACGTTAATCAACCCAATAATAAATCAGTAAATTACCAAAAACATTTATTAAATTTTGTACCGACACAAATCATCCACATCCAATCTCGATAATGTAATACTGAATGTACAAATATATTGTTTCAATCCATTCCTCATTACAAAAATGTCTACAGATCAACTTGAAAATTATACCTTTATTACGAGAAATCTGAAGGTGAAATAAATCTCTAGTCTGATAATAAAAATTACAATTCCCTCTTATTTTGACATCATTTTTTAATAATAATTTTGAAAGGCACAATGGAAACATCAGGACTCCTGATCGAGGAACATCATTGTTCGATTAAATAATAAGTGATGTGAGAATAATAAAAAAAAAATATGCAAAATGGAGATTATTTTCGAGCGTAGTCCACATTGTCATCGATTCTTCTCTGTTGACTAGTGTTAGAACATGAAACACTCAGTTCTTTCGACTCCGACGATTTCACATATTGATATTAATATCATTTAAATGTTTTTGCATTGACATGTCACTGGTTAAAAATATCCTGTCATGTTTATTCCGATGGAAAATTGACAATGACCTCGTAATTAACAATCTTCAGTACTCCACATTGTCACCGAAATCAAAAAATTATCACCATGAGTTTATTACATCATTTGTGGAGGTGATGTATTTCAATATGTGATGCGCACAAATATGATGCAGCTCTCAGATCCTCAAGACGTCGGTCATACTATCTCATCGGTGGATTGCTGAAAGAAACAGCAATATTAACCACGTGAATTAAAAAATGGGGTTAGGGCTATATTTCCTCCGAAAAAACATTTCCTACAGAATTTCCCAAATAAAAAGGTCTCTTTATTCCTCTTTTTTCTCATTTTCTCCGAAAATTTATTCAATCATAATTTTGTAAATAAATAATCTGCAGTAATAGAGTAAACAGGTCAGTTTCTGGACGGGGGTTAGTTTCTGGATGATTTCAGCTTGCATTGAATATTCCATAAATAAAATGAAAATTGTACTGATTATTTCACCTATCAATAATATTACTCGTGTATAATCATGTGATGATTTATTTTTTCTATTGATCGACATTTAATGCATAAAAAAATGGCCCAGTCGTCCAGAAATTAGAGATTTCGGCCACATTTAACTATTTTTTTATCAATTTTTGTTTTATTTTTTGTTTATTAACTTCTTTAGTCTTGGGAACACTGATGAGAATAATAATTCTCCATTCAGTAGAATGGAAAATTAATGCATAAAAAAATGGCCCAGTTGTCCAAAAATTAGAGATTTCGGCCACATTTAACTATTTTTTTATAAATTTTTGTTTTAATTTTTGTTTATTAACTTTTTTAGTCTTGGGAACACTGATGAGAATAATAATTCTCCATTCAGTAGAATGGAAAATTATCGAGAAGTTTTGACGGGAGAAGATTTTGTCAATGGATTAATTGAAAAACAAATGCAACAGCAAAATCCAAAGTCCGGAGCAATACCCAGGAGGCGACCCGGAGGGGAAAAAACAAAATGTGATGCTGGATTTCAATCAAATGAAAAAATAAGTCTTCTCGGCCTAATCTAATCAATTGAATTATAATCCATTGAATTATCAGATGAATAGAAAATTATTGGTCTTATCAGTACTCCCAATAATATAGTCGTTTTTCGGCTGTTCCATTTTGCCCCACTTTCCCCTATGTTTTGTTATTTTCACTTCAAATAATTTTTTTCCGCTAATTAAAACGTTCTTGAAGGTATGGAAACCACCCTATTCCCATTTAGATGCTTCTTTTATTTCAGATCCTACCACGAAACTCGAATTTCCCTTAACCGTCCAGCAATTGTCCTGTTCACCCTACCGTTCAATAGAATATCAATACAATATTTTGGAAACATTAGAAAAAGGTCAGAATGCATAGTTTCTCTGAATTCATTCTGATATGCATTTCGAGCTTATTAGTATCGACCTCTATAGCACATAATTTACAGCTCAGTTAAAAAATCATGTTTGAAACATTGCAAATCTGCTAAGCATTTGGTTTTTCTATATTCCGAATGAAAAGTTCTTTTTTTTTCCTTCTTCCTTGTAAGATCACAAAAAATTACCCATGAGATTGAGATTCCTTGTGAAATATTTTCGGTATGGAATTAAAAAAAAATACATTTTCAATCTGACAATTTTTAAACGATAAATTGTGAAGGAATGTTTTCAGGGGAAATATAGCCGGCATCCAAAAAAACGATAACGAAGAACCAATGAGTCCTTACATTTCCTCTTACTTTGTCTCTCCCTACAATTGAAATCAGCCTTCTCATAGATCTCGTCATCGCCTCCCGTGGAATGCCACGTTTTCCTCCTCCTCGCTTTTCTGCAGTCCTCCTCCACCACCCCGTTAACCCTCCCATTAACCTCCTCAAATGATAAGGATATGTCTTCACCGTTCAACTCTTCCTCCAGTTGCTCAGTCTCCTCCATATCTTCGATCTCCTCCAGTCCCTCATAGCCCACTATCCCGTCATCCTCTTCCCCTCCTTCCTCCACTCTTTCCTCATCAACTCCTTCCTCCAACGCCTCGAACCCCTCCTCCTCATCCTCCACAACCTCTTCATACTTAATCTCCACATCCGAGAACATCCCATTAACATCCAAGCAGCTGTGATTCTCCATGTCCAAAGTAGTTTCAAAGCTCGTCTCACAGTTCTCACAGACGACCTGTTCATCTCCAGTCTCCTGCTCTCCCTCAGCCCCCTCATCCTCCTCAACCGCCTCCACCTTCACCTCGACCTTGCCCCTGTGCTCACTGCTAACATGTTTCTTCAAATCGCTATCACTCTTGCAAACAGTCTCACAAATCTCGCACTTCACCTTCTCCCCTTTATGCTTAGCCACGTGCACTTTAAAGTACCAATCAGTTAAGAATCGTTTCGAGCAGTAGGTGCACTCAAAAGGCTTCTTCTCCCCCTTCTTCCTCCTCTTGTACTTCATCCTCCTCCTGGGTGTGATCTTCTTGAGTTTCTCCTCAGCCTTGCCAACCGCCTGTTTCGCTGGTGCAGGCCTGATGGGCATCACCGGATTGGGTTTAATAAAAACAGACTTCCCAGTGTTTGAGGAGACCCCTGAGACAGGCTGAATGGTTGGAACTGTCTGGACATTGACGAACGACTGCATCTGAATGGTATTATTAGCAATTATGCAGAACCTGGGGATTCCCTCCTTTCTGTGCAGCATCGAGGGCTCACTCTTGAGGTTCGCAATGGGAACAACCGTGATCGGCATCATCACTGGTTTCGGGGCCACTGGTGTCCCCTGCTGGACCAGCCACTCATTAACATTGAGAGGGTAGGCTATCGCCCTCGGTTGGACAGGAGGCACCACGAACTTGTTCTCCTGTGAATTCCCAGACTTAAATTTCCCAGTCTCTGAGTTAGTAATCGAATTGTTGGGAATATAAATATGATTTTTATCTGAACTGGGAAGTATGAAGTTCTGATTGTTGATGATGAGCCTCTGGGCCTGAGGCTGGAGGACAAGTGGAATATTGTGGAGGACAGGAGCAATCGGTGGTGCTGAAGGATTGGAGATACTGTTCATACGTATGAACGACTGATTGAATCCCTGCACCGGTGCTCTGGGTATCACAATGAGCTCTGAGTTCTTCTTGAGGGACTCAGCGGCTCTGTCATTAGCAATTGATGACTCGACGTGGTCATTTCGCTTCATTCTCAGGGCCTCCATCATCTGGATCTCCCTCTCCCTCATCCTCTCCTTGAGGATCTGCGCCCCGTCCACTTGATTGTGCCTGTACTCGGTTCGTCTCTTGCAGTTTTTGTGATGAATCCTGGTCTTTCGGTTCTTCAGGACGACACCGCAGATGTCGCAGGCATTTGACTTGTCGCAACGCTTCAATTCGAGTTTCAATCTTCTGCAGCGATTGTGGTCGATACTGAGGGCATCGCAGCGAGGATTGCTACAGTGTTTTGAGACTGGAGCTGTTATTTCGGAATCTGTGATTGTCGTTGCGATCAATGGGGAGGAGCCAGTCGTGTCGACGTATTGCTGGACGTTCACGTCGCAGATTATGCTCTCGCAGGGCTCGCAGTGCCCGCATTTCCTTCGACGATTGATTATTGGGTGCAAGGAGATCCCAGAGTCCCCGACGATCTTCGAGGGGAGGTACAGAGTCTTTAGGGGCGAAGGGAAGTTCGTCGAGGACTCCAGGGGACTCTCCGGGGGCTCCAGAGGCTCCAGCGGACACTTCGGGGGCTTAAGGGGCCTCAGCAGGTCCTCAGGGTTGAGGTCCACCAGGGACATTGTGATGTCCGGCCTGGGGCGTCTCTCCTTACTCGATTTAGATCTTGCTCTTGTGGGCTTTGGAGTCGAATCCTCCTCGGGGATGTTTATCGGCTTTATCACGATGTTTGGTTGATTGAGAAGACGCTGGACTGGCTCGGAGTGCAGGAGGTCTGGGTACATCACTTTGGATACCTCGTCGGGAGCCACTCGGGGGCTACCAATTGGCACCAGCTTCGGCAAGGGTGCGTATGCCATTGCTGGTGGTTCACTTCATTGATTTTCGGCTTCTGGGGGAACTCGAAATTGCGAATTTTTCGACAAAGTCCACGGCTTCCGGAGTTTGTTTACTCCTTTGTTAGAGTGATTACTCACCTGAGATTGTGGTTGATTTATTTTGATAGATTGTTACTTCATTTTCGGTGAAGCTGAGGGAAACCAACTGATAACTTCACTGTAGCAGTTTTTTGATACATAATTTTTTGGAGAAAAGGGCCTGCGCGCGCACTATTCGAGGGAAATATACAGTTTGTTATGCGGCGATGGGGGTGACGAGTTTTTCGAGGTTATAGATGTACCGAACACGGGGGAGACAATTTAACGTCACGTGTCGGTGGTTTATGGAATTGTTTGACAGTTGATGAGGGTTTACTTGGGGAATCACTGGGCGGTGGTACTGTGGGTAGATTTTGAAAGCGAGAGGGTCTCGTTAAGAGGCGGAGTACAATGGTGAGGCTAGCGGGGCCGCCATGTTTTTGGCGAACGGATGAAAAAATAAGGAAAAATCGAGTTTTTGGGGGGGTGGGGACTCCAAGGGGTTTGAGATGATTGATAGGGAGGACGGAGGAGTCATTGTTGGTGGGTGAATGATGATTCTTTGGAATATTAGTGGGTTAGGCAGGCTTTTGTTCGAGGAGTGAGGAGGCATTGTTTGTTGTTGAGTGGAATGTTATTTACATTTTTAATTTTTACGGCTTTGCCGCCGGGGGAGGAGGCTACTTGACCGACAACCAATCAGGTCGATTTCTAGTTGGGATAAAGTTTAAAAGTTGCAATATAGTTGTCGCGTGTTTTTTTTTTGTTGAATTAAAGATGGGATTCAAAAATTAGATGAACAATATTACATATTAGGTATTCTGTGTCAAATGAGTCAACGACAGATCCTCAGCCTCTTGGAAATTGATCTCGATTTTTTTTACGATCGAGGGACTCGAAAAACTGTCTCTCAGTTTTTTCAGGTTTTTTAACAGCCCATTTCGGAGATATGATTTTTTCCTTGTTTCTTTGTTTTTCTTTTCTCAATATCTCCAGTTCCATTCATCCGATTTTAATTTATGACACGTCAAAATCTTCGATTTTCTACCATCTATAAGAATATTTTGAAAATTTTTTTTCAATCCCTAGGTGCTCATAATACCGAAGTTTCAAAAAAAAAGTTGGTAAACTTGCATTTTCAAAGTTGGCACGTTTATTATTCAAAAATGTCAGGTTTTATTTTTCTCGTCTTTTTTTCAGTAATTCTTATCATCAAAACAAGTATTTTAAGCCGTCCCTGGCGATCAAGTAGCCCAGTTGTAACGGGGCACCAACCGGGCAGTCATTTTCGGGGTTAAGAAGGGGTAAATGACACCCAAAAACAATGTAAAAGTTGATAGATTAATTATTTGTTAACATTTGTTAACATTCGCACCGTTATTTGCATTGTTATTCATTAATTAAAGAAAAATATATTGTTGGTGTGTTGTATAGCTATATAAGCTTATAGAGAAAATGCCGCGAGGTGGCGACAGTATCGACTTCCCGCCTAGGTCGGTCAAGTCGACGGCAGTGGCGGGAGAAATTGAAAGTGGAAAATGCATGTTTTGCATTTTGCAAATGCATTACCTTTTTTTCAATTTGAAAAATTAATGGCAAACCCATTTTAGCACATGGTTTTTTTCCTTAATGAATAAATGTGTTGGGGGGGAGGGGGTTGTAAATTAGTAACAAAATCATTTTGCGGCATTGTTTTTTTTCCTAATGAGTAAAGGTAACGGGGCGGGATTTTGTANAGCTATATAAGCTTATAGAGAAAATGCCGCGAGGTGGCGACAGTATCGACTTCCCGCCTAGGTCGGTCAAGTCGACGGCAGTGGCGGGAGAAATTGAAAGTGGAAAATGCATGTTTTGCATTTTGCAAATGCATTACCTTTTTTTCAATTTGAAAAATTAATGGCAAACCCATTTTAGCACATGGTTTTTTTCCTTAATGAATAAATGTGTTGGGGGGGAGGGGGTTGTAAATTAGTAACAAAATCATTTTGCGGCATTGTTTTTTTTCCTAATGAGTAAAGGTAACGGGGCGGGATTTTGTAAATTTGTAACGTACCCATTTTGTCCCATTATTTTTTTTTCATAATGAATAAAGATGTTGGGGGAGGGGAGAATTTTGTAAATTAGAGACGTTCCCATTTTGCTCCATTATTTTTTTCTTAATGAGTGGGAGGGGGTTTTGCAAATTTGTAACGTGCCCATTTTGCCCCATTGTTTTTTTTTCTTAATAAATAAAGGTGGGCGGGGGAGGGGAATGCGGTAAATTAGTGAACGTTACCATTTTGCTCCATTGTATTTTTCTTTGTAAATGAAGGTGGAGGGGAAAATTCCATAAATTTGTAACAAAAACCATTTTGCCCCATTGTTTTTTTTTTTTAATGAATAAATGGGTTGATTTTGTAAATTAGGAACAAAATCATTTTCGGCGTTGTTTTTTTTCCTAATGAGTAAAGGTGTCA